AGGAATAAAGCCCTATTCCGGAGGATCTCTTATTCCTACTGTGTGGTGTATTTTGTACTTGCAAGTAGGAATAAGAGATACTCCAGAATAGGGCTTTATTCCGGAGTATCGTGCCAGTCTGGATGCTTTTCTCCGGCTTATCTCCAAGCCAGAAAAAAGCGGCGGCCATGAAAATGAAAATGCCGCGGGGGATATTTAAATCCCCCGCGGATTTGCCTTTTCCCAAGTGCTACATTAGCATGCCTATTCCGTAATAGGGGCCAACGTAGACGTAGCCTGTCTGTTCAGGCTTACTGAAAGTGGGTTTCTTGCTCCTCATTCACATAATCATCAAAATAGACAAAAGAAATATGTAAGCAGGGCCGCCAACAAGAGGGGCTAAGAGCACAGCTGCTGTTGGGCCTGGCGATTTAAAAGTGAAAAGAATTCCTTCATTTCAGTTTACAGGCAGTCCCCGGGTTACGTACAAGATAGGGACTGTAGGTTTGTTCTTAAGTTGAATTTGTATGTAAGTCGGAACTGGTACATATTGTAGGGGAAACTCTAGCCAAACATTTCTCCAGAGCTCAGTTTTATTCTCCCACACCTCACTTCCCTCAGTCCTTTATTCTCAAGCTGAGGTGTCTGCTGAGAAAAGCCGCTCCGCGTCTCCCTGGTCTGCTGGGGGTGGGCGCTAGATTCGCGTCTCCCTGGTCTGCTGGGGGGAAGCAGCTAGTGCGGGGTTGCCTCACTCCGTTTGTAAGTAGGGATCCGATGTAAGTCGGATCCATGTAACCCGGGGACTGCCTGTATTTCTTATTTCCAGGGGAGGCCAACAGCTTCCACAGGCTCCTGGGCAAAGTAGTGGGGACACAGCTCCATGCCCTGGAAGGCCTTGGGCCGCGTCTCCCTGGTCTGCTGGGGGGAAGCAGCTAGTGCGGGGTTGCCTCACTCCGTTTGTAAGTAGGGATCCGATGTAAGTCGGATCCATGTAACCCGGGGACTGCCTGTATTTCTTATTTCCAGGGGAGGCCAACAGCTTCCACAGGCTCCTGGGCAAAGTAGTGGGGACACAGCTCCATGCCCTGGAAGGCCTTGGGCAGAAGGGATGGAACTGGTGTAGCCAGCCCACAGTGCTACTGGGGCTGTGATGCTGCCCCCCTCCTCCTCCAAGCCCTCAGAGCTGAGGTCCTAAGGCTCTGGTCACCACTGCTGCTGGGAGCCTCTGGTGCCTTTGAATTGTTGGTCCCTGGGGCAACTGCCCCCTTCACCGCACTCCCCCTCCCCCCCATCAGCAGGTCTGCAAATTTCTCCAGAAAAAATGAAAACACTTCAGTTCAAGGTACTCAAGATGTAATTATTCAAAATGTAAACAAAAAAAATTAAAATTGAACTTTCATAGAATCCACGGGCTGGAAGAGACCTCAGGAGGCATCGAGTCCAGCCCCCTGCCCAAAGCAGGACCAACCCAACTCAATCATCCCAGCCAGGGCTTGGTCAAGTTGGAACTCAAACACCTCTAGGGATGGAGATTCCACCCCCTCCCTAGGGAACCCAGCCCAGCACTTCATCACCCGCCTAAGGAAAGAGTTTTTCCTAAAACCCAACTTAGGCCTCCCCCACTGCAACCATTGAGTCCATTGCTCCTCATTCTGCCATCTGCCACCACTGAGACCAGCCTCTCTCCATCCTCTTTGGAACCCCCCTTCAGGGAGTTGAAGGCTGCTCTCAAATCCTCCCTCACTCGTCTCTTCTGCAGACTAAACAGACCCAAATCCCCGAGCCTCTCTTAGTAGGTTATGTGCTCAATAATTTTGGTTGCCCTCCTTTGGACCCCCTCCAACGCATCCACATCCTTTCTGTAATGGGGGGCCCAGAACTAGACAATACTCCAGATGTAGCCTCACCAGTGCCAAATAAATTGGAATAATTCTCTGGATCTGCTGGAAATGCTCCTCCTAATGCACCCTAATATGCCATTAGCCTCCTTGGCTACAAGGGCGCCCTGTTGACTCATATCCAGCTTCTCATCCATTGTAATCCCCAAGTTTTTTTCTGCCAAACTGCTGCGTAGCCAGTTGGTCTCCAGCCTATAACAGTGTTTGGGATTCTTCAGTCCCAAGTGCAGGACTCTCATAAGATTCCTTTTGGCCTAATCCTCCAATTTGTCTAGGTCACTCTGGACCCTATCCCTACCCTCCAACATATCTACATCTCCCCCTAGTTTCATGTCATCCACAAACTTGCTGAAGGTGCAATCCATCCCCTCCTCCAGGTCATTAATAAAGATGTTATACAAAACCAGCCCTAGAACCAATGCTTGGGGCAGCCCGTTTGATTCCAACCAGGCATCAAGTTGTTCACCACAACCTGTTGAGCCCGACAGTCTAGCCAACTTTCTATCCACCTTACAGTCCACTTATACAATCCATATTTCCCTAACTTGCTGGCAAGAATACTGTGGGAGACCGTATCAAAAACTTTGCAATAGCTGATCTAAAAGCCTGTTTTAGCCTCTGGAAACCAGTCAGTTCCATAATGGAGCCCTGAGGCTGTATCTACTGTATCCCAGCTAGATGATTTTAAACTGTGTCTTAATGAAAATATGACACCCAATGTCTTAAATGTTTTTTAGAAAATTTGCCCTCAACAATGTCATTTTCAAGAGCTTACTCAAATATGAAGGAAGTTAATGAAGAGGCTGCTGGTTTCAAGGCTGTAACAACTTTGTAGGGTTAAGAGCCCTCCAGGAATCATAAAAAGTCCAAGGAGTCCATAGACTAATTCAAGAAATAAATTAGTAAATAAAACAATTTTATTTAGAAATAAAACGATTTCCAGCAGAAGCCAGTGAAATGCCTATGTGACTGTGACACCAAAAATAAAACGGCTCAGCTTTGATGGAGAGACTTCAGGGGCTCAGCACTCATCAGGCCTCTTCTCTTGGCCAAGGCCAGCCAGAACACCTTCTCCTAACCCCCCTAACTCCCATCTTGTCAGCTGGGTTACAAGGAGCTTTTCACCCACATGGAGGGCTCAGAGTGTTCCATGGATCCAGGGCAGCGAGCATTGCTGCTGGCTGGGGGCACGGGCTGGCAGGGGATTGCTAACTGGGTGCCCAGCGGGAGGGGAAATCTCAGAGTCATGCAGGCAGCTCCCAGGGCATGCACCTGGCAGCCCACGCAGCCAGGGAATGTACATTTCCCATCACCAGGAGCAAAGGAAGCTGCTGCTTCAGCCCTGTCAGCCAACAGCACTGCTCAAACCCTCTGCAGAGTGCAAAGCAGCCCCTAGCTTTCCTAAAACAAAAAACAGGACTATGTAGCACTTTAAAGACTAACAAGATGGTTTATTAGATGATGAGCTTTCTGGCCCACGAAAGCTCATCATCTAATAAACCATCTTGTTAGTCTTTAAAGTGCTACATAGACCTGTTTTATGTTTCAGCTACACCAGCCTAACAGGCTACATTTCTATCCCTAGCTTTCCTGCTTGCATTCCATCCACTATGCTAGGAAACTGGGGTCAGGGGACTTGCTCCTCCCAGTGGTGCCCCTGCCTTAGCCATGCGGGGCAGTTAGGCTCCTGCTCCCAACTTTGCAGGGCTGAGGCCTAAGGGCACAGCTCTATCCAGGGTGATTGACGTGAAGGAAGGAGCCAGACAGCCGCTTCGCGTTGCACGCCGCCTCCTCCGAACTACATTCTCCTGCGGCTCCACGTGCTGCCCAGCCCAAAACTACATCTCCCATCAGCCCCCGGGCCTGCGCACGCTCAGTGGAGGAGACGAGCCGCAGGAAGATGGAAGGGGGGAGAGAGAGACTCCGGAGTAAGTGAAATTTAACTCGGTAGCCGCATCAAGGGCAGCTGCTGCGGGAGGAGCGCGCCTGGCCCGGAGGAGGCTCCAGCACCCAAAGGGTTAACTAGCCCCAGTGTCCTGCCTGCCCCGCTGCTGCTGCAGGAGTTGGTGAAACTTCCTGGCAAGTAAGTTTTCTCGCCTGGCAGCTGAGTGGCCAGGCAGGCTTGGGGCTCCCACGCCTGGCTGCAGCCCCTGGACCTGGGTCTTCCCTTGGTGCAGCGGGGAGGGGCCTGGCCCAGACAGAGCGAGCCCTTCTCTTTATGAAGCAACATGCAGGACAATGTAGCACTTTAAAGAGCAATGTAGCACTCCCTAGGGCGCAGGCATGGGGCAGCTGGGCTCCCAACACTTCCCAGCCCAGGCGCAATTGTGACCTGCCCCCCGGTATCGCCTTGCAACTGACTGATGCAATCCCCCCGCCTTGTGCCAAGGGAGCCGCACTCAAGTCAGTGCCCAGCAGCCCGGGGGAAGCCTGGCAGGGTCTGATTGCAAAATCTAGGCCTCGCTCATTCCTTTTGCTCCCCAGTCTAATGAAAGCAGCTGGCGCTGGGGACTGTAAGTTTGCAAGGCTCAGCAGTGGTTATGGGGCCAGATTCTGCTCTCAGTGATGCGGTGTAAATCAGGAGTAGCTCCATGGACTTCAGTGGATTTGCTCCTGATTTGCACTGGTGTCAGTGAACCCAGAGTGAGGCCTCGCTGTGTGCATGTCACACTGAGGTGCAATATAAGCAGTGCAATTGAGCACGAGGGGTTTTGCGGGGGCCAGGCCATCTTTACTTCCTGGGTCATCTACACTTCAATCAAGTGCAAGGTTAAAACCAGACGAGCCTCTTTAGGGACAGAGAAAGTGAGTGTGGGGAGGATTTGAGGAGGTTCAGTTCGAACTAGGGAGGCTAATGTAGGCATTCGAACTTGCAAATGAAGCCCGGGATTTAAATATCCCCGGCTTGATTTGCATCTTCCCCTCCGGGCGCCATTTTTAAATGCCACTAGTCCGGACTAAGGGTACGTCTAGACTACATGCCTCTGTCGTCAGAGGCATGTAGATTAGGCTACCAGACATAGGAAAATGAAGCGGTGATTTAAATAATCACCGCTTCATTTAAATTTACATGGCTGCCGCGCTGAGCCGACAAACAGCTAGCTCTGCAGAATTTGCATATCCTCTTTAGCGTAGTCTAGATAATCCCTGAGGGTATGTCTACACTAGTCCACTAGTTCGAACTAGGAAGGCTACTGTAGGCATTTGAACTTGCAAATGAAGCCCGGGATTTAAATATCCCAGGCTTTATTTGCATGTTCCCTTCCGGCTGCCATTTTTAAATGCCACTAGTCTGGACTAACTGCCCGCGGCTACACGCAGCAGTTAAACGGTAATTCGAAGTAAGGACTTAGTTCGAATTACCTGTTACTCTTCCTGGAATGAGGTGTAACAGGTAATTCGAACTAAGGACTTAGTTCAAATTGCTGTTTAACTGCCACGTGTAGCTGCGGGCAGTTAGTCCGGACTAGTGGCATTTAAAAATGGCGACTGGACGGGAACATGCAAACAAAGCCGGGGATATTTAAATCCCGGGCTTCATTTGCAAGTTCGAGTGCCTACATTAGCCTCCCTAGTTCGAACTAGGAGGCTAGTGTAGACAGACCCTCTGAGATAATCAGGCCCTTGGTGTCTCAGCCTGAGCTGCCAGTGTCTGTGGCCTCCTTTTCAAAATGTATGTGCCTCAGTTTCCCCACCTGTAAACAGGGACAGTGAGGCTGACCAGCCTGACGGGAGGGCCTTGTGAGACTTTGTTCATTCCTGAGCATAAAGTGCCGTGCATCAGAAACTGATGTGTGTGCAGACGCCCGGCATTGTGTGCTGGCCGGCATCTTACTCCCATTGATTTCCATTCCTCACTGCCATGGCACTGGAGATGCTATGGCTTCCATGGCAGGACCAGGTTAGCAGCTGCCTGTGTTAATCCAGTGCAACCGTGCCCAGCCTCTGCTGCTTACTTCCCTTCCGACGACGGGGGGCTGGATACTCTGTGGGCTTTGCTCAGGGGGGCTCTGCTTAGAATCTGGTCTGTGAAGCTGTCTCCACTTTCCCGTTCAGTCCTGCCCGCGTCTAACCTCGAATGCCTCTTTCCTTCTCTTCTCAGTGTAGGGCGAGTTTCTGTTTCCCCACCTGGGCAGGAGCGACCATGACAGACGATGGCATGGACTTCCACGGGGGGCTGGATACTCTGTGGGCTTTGCTCAGGGGGGCTCTGCTTAGAATCTGGTCTGTGAAGCTGTCTCCACTTTCCCGTTCAGTCCTGCCCGCGTCTAACCTCGAATGCCTCTTTCCTTCTCTTCTCAGTGTAGGGCGAGTTTCTGTTTCCCCACCTGGGCAGGAGCGACCATGACAGACGATGGCATGGACTTCCAAACCGACTGCAGCCGCCGGAATCCCCCTTCAGTGCCCTGTGCTCTGGCCTGAACTCTGCTGCAGCTGGGGCTGAGCTGCCTCTCCATGCAGCCGCCATGGAGCCACCTGCCTGCGAGGGGACCCTGGGGGGCCTGCAGAGCCCTGGTTCCTCAGACCTCCCGGACGCTGGGGAAGCACGTGAGGAGGCGTGCAGGGTCCCGGGAGGGGGGATGGACGCTGCTGCAGCTGGGAGTGATTCTGGCTGTCCCAGAGCCCTGGCCAGCACAGAGCAGAGCGACCTGGTTTGCATGGACCTGGATGAGGCGCCTGAGGCCCACCTGGGAAGGGAGGAATGGGCTGAGACCGTGGGGGAGGATGGCCAGTCGGAGATCCAGGGCCTCCTCACCCAGCTCCAGTCCCTCAGCCCCAGCTTCCATGACGACTTGCCTGCCTCGGAGGGCGACCCGCTGCTGGCATCGGACTGTGGCGCGGGGCCTCATGGGGGAGAGGTGCCACTTCCCCACAGACGAGCCGTTGGCTGCTGCCAGGGCCTGCCGGGCGAATGCTCTCCCTGCCTGCTGCACGTGGCCACGGGGAGAGGCCTGGGGGTGCTGCCCTGCCGTGCCCGGTGCTCTACCAGCTCCCGGAGGAGCCACGGCCTGCTCTTTGCAGAGGCTGACCGGGAGGACTTGCTGAGCCTCCTGCACCATGAGGGGGGCCTCCCTGCAGAGGGGAGTGAGGAGACCCCCCTAGCCAGGTCAGACAGCCTGGCTGGGAGCGATGCGGCGGCCCTGCTACACCGAGAGAGCCCGGTGGCCCGGCAGATGGAGGAGGCTGCTTCGCAAGCAGGCAGCCCTCAGGCAGAAGGCTCCTGCCGGTGGTATCGGACACGGGGAGCCTGTGAGGAAGACCCTGCCTGTGCGACTCCGGGCAGTCGGGACAGCTCCCCAGAGCCTGTGTGGGCGGCCATGTCTGCCCCTCCCAGCCAGGGCCCAGAGCAGGCCCCCCACGGGAGCACGGCCCCCTGGGCTGGGGCTGGGCTCCGCTACCTCTGGGTGGCAGGCCTGGAGCTGAGCCCTTTACCACATCCCCTGGCAACCGCTCCGCAGAGCGGCTGTGAGTCAGCCCTTGGCATGAGAGCCCCAGGCCGGCGGGAGGGGAGCAGATGCCCCCGGCACCCTGCTGTGCGTGAGGCATTCCCGAGGGCAGCTGGTAGATCTAGGTGCTGCCGCCCAGCGGGGAGGACACAGCCACAGAGCCCAGCCAGGCCTGGTCTGGACCCTCTCAGGGCCCAGGGACGAGGTCTGTTCTCCACCGGGTCTGCCCCACGTGTGTCACCCAGATGGGCTGGCACAGGCAGAGCAGCTCTGCAGGTGCATGAAGGGCTGGCAGCAGGTTCCTGTCCCCACTCCCTGGGCTGTGAGCTAACCCAGTGACCTCCTCCCTGGCATGCTGCCCACAGACTTCCAGCAGCCTTGGCCTCCCCTTGCTCATCACCCTGCTCCCACCTCTGCCCAGGGAGCTGCCCTCTGGCGTTGTCCCCTTTGGCTGCTGCCCAGCGCCATGCCCTTGGCTGGAGGCGGCTGGCAGGGCCCTGGCTGCTGCTTGACCTGGCCTAGCCCTCACTGATCTGTCACTGCTTTGCAGGCTAAAGAAGCCTTGGCATCCTATCCAGCCTTCAAAGAGGGTGAGTGACTCGTTTGTGTGTCCCGGGTGCCCTGTCTCCCCAGCCTCTGGGCCATGGTGCAGATGGTAGCTGCTCCTAGGTGCTGTGCAAGGAAGGTGGGGGCGTGTGTCTTCGCTGCCCTGGCTCACTGCAGGAGGGTTCTGGCTGTGTAGCCCTGGGCGAAGGGCCAGCATGGGGAGGGACTAGGGGCGTAAAATGTTGATTATTTGGCTAATCAAATAGTCAATGCATCGACTGTTTGATTAGTCGATAAGGGCGCATCCCCCTTGGAAGTGTAGCGACAGCTGTTGCTACGCTTCGAAGGCGAAACCTGCGGGGAGCTTGTCCCATGCTCGTCCCGCGCTCGCTGCGGCGTTTCAAAGCGGCAGCACTGCATGGAGCCTGGTCCCCAGCTGACCCCAGACTCCACACGGTGCTGCCACTTTGAACCCTGGGCTGCCCGCAGCATTTCAAAGCGGCAGTGCGGCGTGGAGGCCAGGTCCTGCGCGGCACTGCTGCTTTCAAGCATCCCCTCCCCCCCACTGACTCTTTCTGATAGAGGCAGCAAGGGGGGGGAAGCGACTAGTCGACTAGCCTGTCGACTCTCCAATAAGCATTTGCTTATCGACTAGCCGTTCACGTCCCTAGTGAGGACACAGGGGCCAACCTTGCTCTAGTTGTGCCTTTGTGAAATGGGCTTGGAGGTCCCAGCTGTGTCCCTGCGCTGCGTAACCTTCCTCGCAGCTCTCTGGGCCGGGTCCCTGGGGGCCGCCACAGCGGGGGGGGGAAGGGCTGGCTGCTGCCCTGTGTTGGTGAGGGGCAGGGGGCACCCAGCAGCACCTGAAGGACAAGGAGATGCCCTGGGGACCTGGTATTCGCAGCCCCAAGGGAGGGCAGAGGTGAGGGGCTGGCCCCAGGGGTCCTGGCCCTGTGGAATGGGGCAGTGCCCACAGGGAGCTCACTGGTGGGTGTCCTGGAGAGCAAGAAGCGTGCTGGCTGCTGCCCTGTGTTGGTGAGGGGCAGGGGGCACCCAGCAGCACCTGAAGGACAAGGAGATGCCCTGGGGACCTGGTATTCGCAGCCCCAAGGGAGGGCAGAGGTGAGGGGCTGGCCCCAGGGGTCCTGGCCCTGTGGAATGGGGCAGTGCCCACAGGGAGCTCACTGGTGGGTGTCCTGGAGAGCAAGAAGCGTGAAACCCCCAGCAAGCAGCACTTCTGCTGGCAGCCAGCCACCCGCTGGGCCCCAGCCCTGCTGCTTGAGCCTGGCCAGGGGCTGTGTGAGGAGAGGGGCACAGGCTGGGAGTTCTGCCATGGCGGGTTCAGGGCTGTGGAGCGGGGGCACCGTGCCCAGGCTGTGGGGATGGGAGCAGAAGCATGGCAGGGCGCTCTCTGGCTTTCGGTGGAGGAGGGGGCAGGGAGTCGGGCACTGAGAGGCAGGGGGGAGCCTGACCCCCAGCCAGGAGGGGAGGTTGCTGAAAGAGACCCTGGCAGTCAGCAGCAGCTGGGCCTGGCTTCAGCCTGGGGTCACAGGCCGTGGCAGTGGAAGGGACGGGAGGAGCCGTGGCCAACGCCCGCCTCTGGCTTCTCAGTGGCAGGTCCCTGCGAGCCAGAGGACCTCCTGGATGGAGTGATCTTCGGAGCAAAGTATCTGGGCTCCACCCAGCTGGTCTCGGAGAGGAACCCCCCCACCAGTGTCCACATGGCGCAGGCCCAGGAGGCCATGGACAGGGTCAAGGTGGGTGTGGGTGCTGGGTGAGCCGGGCGGTCGCTAGTGCAAGTGGACGCTGCCACCTGCATCTGTTCGGTGGCACCCAGCCCTGTGGGCAGAGACTGCTGAGATGAGCCCCTGCCTGGCACGAGCTGATTTTCACCCACCGGGAGCCTCAGTGCCCCCATCGATGCAGCTGAGGAGGTGCCCTCGCCATGCACGGAGCACTGCATGCGCCCTGGGCTCCCTGCTGCCCGCACTGCACTGCAGGAAACTCCTGGGCTCGCTGGCCTGGCACAGCAGCGGGGCAAGGGGAGCAGGCTCCCCGGGCTGCTCTGCCTGGGACAGCAGGGCGAAGCTGGGCGCGCCGTGAGCGGCTGCCTGCATTTGCATCGCCTTCTCACCCGCCCCGGCTAGTGCAGTCGGCAGCTGGGCACGTGAGCTCCCCGAGCAGGGAAAGCAGGTCACTCCGGGGTGCGTTTGGGGCAGGGAGCTGAGCGCCCACTGGCTGGGTGGAAGGGGTTGGGGGGATTCGAACAGGGTTCCCACAGAGGGGGAAGGGATCAGGAGACCTGAGTTCCAGTCCCACGGCTGACACAAGGCAAGGCCTCCCTGTGCCCCAGTTTACCCCGTTAAGAGGCTGATCCATCCCTCTTGCATGGTCTGTGTGAAGTGCTCCGTGGGGGTGCTGAGATGAGGTACCGGAAGGCAGGGAAATCCAATCCGTTACCTAGCTGCTGTTAGCCAGTGCGCTGTGAATTCTAGAACCAGGCTGCATGTTCACGGAGACTCATTGAGGGGAGCCTGGGGCACGGAGTGAGGTGGTGACTTACCCTTGGCCCAGCTGGGACTAGAGCCCGGGAGTCCTGGCTCCGTCGCTTTCTGTGCCATGGGGCTACTGGCAAGCATCCACACTGGCGCTTTTCCTTACCGTGCTGCAGGCGCCAGATGGGGAATCCCAGCCCATGACCGAGGTGGATCTGTTTGTCTCCACCCAGAGGATCAAGGTGCTGACGGCCGACTCACAGGTGTGTAGGAAAGGGGATGTCGTTCCAGGGCCCGGGTCACCTCTGCTAGGAGAACCGGCTTGTGCCTGTTAGAATCTCTCCCCACGAGGTGTCCCCATCTCTGCACCACGCTCCCTCTGACTCGGACCAGGGTGCTTGGCCTAGGCAGAAAAGCAGCCTGAGGCTGTGTGTGAATGTGCTTCAGTTACCTGCGACCCCACCTGATAAAGGGGCTTTCCTCCAGGAGGATCCCACAGATGGCCTCTGGGGGGATCCCACAGCTGCAGCCAAAATGCAGCCACCTCTGGGGTGGGCCTGCACAATGATAAGCTTGCATGTAAAGGGAAAGCTTATCGTCTTTGTATGTTCCTTAGGATTCCTCTAGGTAGAGGTGTGCTGGGGCAGAGCCCCCTGTGCACGCTCCTAATCTAATCTAAGCCTGGTTTATATTGACCGATCACTGAGTCGCATCAGCATGCGACAGGTGTCGGTCTCAGCGTGCGTGTGGCTGCCTTCCGGACGAGTAGAGAGCCGATGTGGGTTGGGTTTCTCCTTTGCAACCACCAGGCCCATGTAGTCAGGTCTCTGGAGGTGCAGGACCCCCCAGTTCTTGGTTGAAGGCATGTCCAACCTGTAACTCAGAAGAGGGTTCTCCCAACTGTGTGGTGGGTGTTTGAGTGGAATAGCCACCAGAGCCACAGGCTGTCCAAGGACCCTTCCCTCTGCTGCGTTCACTGGGCTCCCTGCGTCTGGAGCCTGGGCACTCCAGCGAGACTGCCCCGGGCAGCAGGGTCACTGAACGTTGAATCGCTCACCCCCCAGAAGGCCATGATGGACCATCCCCTCCAGACAATCTCCTACATCGCGGACATCGGCACCATCCTCGTGGTGATGGCGCGCAGGAAGCTGCCACGGCGGGCAGACGCCTCGGGAGAGAAGCGGCTTTACAAGATGATCTGCCACGTCTTCCATTCCACTGATGTGAGTCGGAGCCGGGCGGGGCCTTGGGCGGAGCTTTACACAGGCAGCGAGCCTGGAGCTCTGGATCCCAGTCCGATCCCAGGGCCAGCAGGCGTCATGAACTGGGGGTTCTCAGCTTGGCCTGGAGGCAACTCATTTGCACTTGTCCCTGCTGCTGTGCAGGGCCTGTGCCTGGTGCCTCAGTAACCCTCATCTCCGGCCACCTTGGCTCGGGCTGGAGACAGGAGAGCACCACCCGGGGGTTCTCTGGGCTGTAGAATCCCAGGCCAGGGGGGAGGGAAGATGTTTGGGGGGGGCTGT